CTTTGTGCATCTGCTCATCATTATTCTCAGCGAGCGCACATCGTTGATACCTGCGGAGGACAACGACGAGTCTCAGTTAGCGTCTATGCGCAAGGACATTGCTCATGTACTGTGCTTCAAGCCACTCTCTTTCTCTGACATGACCGCACGACTGTCAGATCGGATTCAGAATATGGACGAATTCCCCGCTGTCTTGTCTGAAATGACTAGATTCCGAGCTCCAGAGGGATTATCTGATAGCGGGACTTTCGAATTGAAGGAGGAGTACATCGATTTGGTAGATCCTTACCTTCATCAGTACAACCGCAACCAGAGAGAGGAAGCAGAGAACACATACAAGGCCTACATGGCCAAGAAGACTGGAAAACAAGCTAGCGACATCGTCTATGAGCCGAAGCTCCGCCCGATTCCTTCCGGTCTGTTCCAAGACCTGTCGGCATTCACCAGAACACCATTGTTTACGCAGATCATATACTACCTACTGGCATATGGGTTGAGGGCAGGATCGGCCACACCGAGCATACCAGCCACTCGCGTTGAAACATACATCCAGTTTGTCTTACAGCTCCTCCTTGTTGCTATCCTCGAGGACAAGAGTGGAGAGCATGGTTGGTCCGAGAAGATGCCCGACTCTTTTGTCACGTCAGTGTTGACCAAGAACGCAAATGTGGGCGTCAAAGACCACCCCACTGTTCTATCGATCCTGAAGACCCTGCAAGACAACGAAGCCTTCAAGGCATGCGAGCCGAAGATAAGCCTGATTCTTCATAGGCTCAAGCAACGCCAACAAGAATCTTTCATCATTGCAGCGGCAGCAATCAACATGCCAGCCGACAGGATGGATACTGCCTCACCCGCACCTCAGGACAAGGAACACAAAGAGCTCAAGAAGAAGCAAGCACTTGACCGACAGGCGAAAGTTATGGCAGCTTTCAAAGAGCAACAGGGCAAGTTCTTGGCCAACCAGGAGTTCGACTGGGGTGAAGATGATTTTAGCGACTTGGAAGATGAGACCGGGGGGCTCGTTGAGCAAGAGAAGACCCTGAAATACCCCTCCGGTACATGCATCTTGTGTCAGGAAGACTGCAACGAGCAGAGACTCTATGGTTCTTTTGGATATATTTCTGAGAGCAGAATCATGCGGCAAACTCCTCTTGAGGATGAAGAGTGGGTGGACGAAGTTGTGCAGACGCCGGCCAGTCTCGATCGATCTGCTGAGGACCTGCGCCCATTCGGCGTGGCCGGCAAGAACCGGCGTACGGTAGAGAAGGTCACTGCTTCAGGTGAGCGCGTTACCAGCGAAAGACAAGAACTAGGAAAAGGATTCCCTCCTCTTTCGGTCACACCTGGTCCAGTCACTACTGGTTGCGGACACATCATGCATTTTGCATGCTTTGAGGTATACCTGAATGCTACGCAGAGACGTCATGTCAGCCAGATTGCGCGCAATCACCCCGAGCGGCCTGAGCTAAAGGAGTTTATGTGTCCCCTGTGCAAGGCCCTTGGAAACATCTTTTTGCCAATCATCTGGAAAGCAAAGAAGGTGTCTAGCACGGGCGTCCTTGAGACGGAGGAGCCATTCGATACCTGGCTGGAATCACAACTGGTTGCAACCCACAAGAGTCTGGAGAAGGGTCTGAAGGTTCCAGCAGACTTGTCGCACGATCAAAAGATGCTGTATGAATACGCAGAACGGGACTTCATCCAGCCAATATCGAGTCGTTTGCCTGATCTGCTGAAGCCACCGCTACCTTCGACTGGCCTTGCTCTGTCACAATCAGGACAACTTGCACCTCGGTTCCAGGTCCCAGCGTTCCTGGGTGTGCAGCCTCCTGAGGCCGCTGAAGCTGGCTTAGGATCTTCTCAGAGCAGTCCAGCTCTCACACAGGATGTTCCAATGGGAGAACTGATCAAGATCTACCATAGACTGAGAGAGACCTTGAAAGTCAACAACGTTCACTCCTCGTTCGCATATCCGCATACACCCGCGGTTACAAACGACTTCACGCATACCGACGCGCTTGCACAAGCTCTTGGGTATTCTATCGCCGCCGCCGAGATTGCTCAGCGAGGCGTGCAGTCCGAATCGGTGCGTGGGACGTTGATCGACAAGATCTCTCCGCAAGCGATCACCCATCTCCGGGTGTTCTCTGAGACTGTCTCGTCGTACATCGCCATCGGAAGCCTTCGTGGTCAGGGGCCGACAAAGACCACGGATGAGTTTTCAGAGAATCAGCGTCGCCAATTCCGCCAGCTGTTGGTCGGACATCCAGGCATCTCTGACCCAGATGTACTGAGTTTCGATCTTAAGAGCATCGCACCGCTACTATGCCAAGATCCGTTCATCTTTCTCTCAGAGTGCGCGGTAGGCGTCGTGCCGGCAACCAATCTCGACATTCACCACATAATGCGACTCTGTTACCTTGCCGAGATCGTCCGGGTAGTCTTTGTTTTCGCACTAGGTGTGAAGAACCAGACGGCTGAGGAGATGGCACTGCATCCAGAACCCTTCGTGTCGTCCCCTGAGCAGTTTATCAGTGAGGAAAAAGTCAGTAATGGGTTCATGTCGTCGCCTGACCAGATGAACAACCTGCTCTTCTTTGTCTGTGTCGTTTTCAACGTCGTCAACACAGGCGACTCACCCGCCTCGCTGGACACAGATAACATGTCCGTTCCATCACAGTTCAAGGAGCCCAACTTCCTCGGCTTCATACAAACCATGGTTTCAACCTACGCTCTGCCTTTCGTCCGTAAAGCGGCTATCCTCATGCACGTGCGCTACGGCATCGACCTCCCACTTGTCCCCGCCGAACGCGCAGACGAGCCCGAACTCGCACGTCTTTCCTCCATCCTCCGATTACCGTCCCTCGACGAGATATTTGCCTCCTTCGCCAGCGGTACATCAGCAGCCCACACAACGCGCTCCATCGTAGGAGGTTGGCTCCGCCATCTCCTCTGGGCCCAAGCCGGCAACAACCCGCTCAAGCCCGTAGTCTCCCTCTCCCATCCCGCCATCTTCGAACTCGTCGGCCTACCCAAGAACTACGACACCCTAACGGACGAAGCGATACGCCGCCGCTGCCCCACAACCGGCAAAGAACTGACAGATCCCGCGCTCTGCCTGTTCTGTGGCGAGATCATGTGCAGCCAAGCCGTATGCTGCATGACGAATAAGAACCGTGGAGGCTGTAATCAGCATCTAGCAAAGTACGTTCTCCCCTCACATGCCTTACACCCTCCAAGAACTCATACTAACACATCAACCCCACAGATGCGGCGGCCAAATCGGCCTCTTCATACACATCCGCAAATGCATGATTCTCTTCCTCAATCTCGACCACGGGACCTGGCACGTCGCGCCTTACCTCGACAAGCACGGTGAAGTCGACCCCGCGCTGCGCCGTCACCACCAGCTTTTCCTAAACCAGAAGCGGTATGATGCGTTGCTGAGGAAGGTTTGGCTGGAAGGCGGAGTGCAGAGTCTTATCGCGAGGAGGCTGGAGGGCGATGTTAACAACGGGGGGTGGGAGAGTTTGTAGATTTCGGGGTTTCATTGTTATGATTGTACAAGTGTAGCGTTTGTAGTAGGCGTTTTGCAATTGATTATATTGTATGTGGCATGCCTTGAAGATGAATGCTGTTGTCACGTTGAATGGTGTTCATGTAAAACACACCTCATACTTCCCGAGAGCAAACTGAGCTTTTGTGTTTGAGTGAAGATACATCGTGTTGTAAATGATGGGGCACCCACGTTATCGAATCGACCAAGAATTTGTCCAAAAATATAAAGCGGTGATTCAGCCCTCGGAGTTATTCGAGGACTTCGACGATCGCAACGCGTTACATGCCTGTCGTCATCACAATAGTCCCAGCCAGCTGACAGCCATTGGCGGGATGACCATATTCATCCTGGGCTGCACGAGCATACAGCTTACCTTCGACTTCTTGTATATGTTCATTTCCAAGAAGTCCGCCTTTTTATGTTGCCAGTTCATCAGTTCATCGTGGGAGGTACGTCGAACCAGTATACCCTCCGGGAGTTCGCGTTTTACCAATTCCTAATACCAGTTCTCCGTGCAAATCTTATCGATGTCTTCCGCGCGTAGATACCGGAGGTGGTCTTGTGTGCCGTACGTCATGTTCAGTTCGTCGTCGGTGGAGAGGTCGGTGGGAAGCACGATCGCGGGGGCTGGGATTTAAGTCCAACTGAACCAGGCATAGAACTTTATGCGAATTAGTATTCGTCGCAGTTGCCACAGTGTTTACTTACTGCTTCTTTGTTGCTGTAAAGCGTGCTTGCGAGTACGTTTCCGGGTCCGTCCAGCCGTTGGATCAGCCTGTATCGAAGCGCAGAAGTGTCATACACCAACTTCGCACACCATTGTCTTGCGCAAGAGCTTGTCTGCTCATGAAGTTTTCTCGATCCAGGAAGTCGGCTTCGGGAAGCGGTTACCCAAAAGCGGCAGCTGCTGGTTTGTTACATGCTGATTGTTAGTCATTGGTCGCTCCGCCGAAATTCACACCTAACGACATGGAGGCTTTCTGAACAAAGAGACAGTGACGTCGGTCTTTTCATCGCGTTGTGGCCAAATTGATGGTGTCGCTCGTGCGTTGGTGATGTCGTTATTTAAGGATTGAGCCAGAAGACGCGTCGACCCGTGGACGCGTCAGAGCTCCCGAGGTCCGCGCGCCAAGACTACCTAGCCTGCTTCCAAACACCTGACAGCTGCGCCAGCTTGGGGTACATTCGTTAACATGGCACTCCTGCAAGAATACGCATTTCGCATGAATTAACTAGATAGTTTCACCATCGCAAGCGCACACTCTGTATTGCGATTAGCAGACAACGGAGCCCAGCCTGGACAGCAAGCCACAGCGCGCAGAGAGAAGCTCGACCGCATGAACAACCTTTAGGTAAACGATTAAGTTTGATAGATGTTCATCTACAGAGCTTGAGAAAAGGAAACTAGACTTGGAAACAGCGAAACCTCAGTCTTCGCCTACTCATCCCAGTTATGATAGGCAACGGGTGAGATATCTTGTCCACCATACGCGGTACCACCAAAGTCGAGGTAGCCCTGCGCCCCCGAATAAGGAATGCGCGCGATATCCTCGTAATCGCCCATAACCCACACACTCTGCATACCCATGATCATATGCTGCAGCACATGACAATGCAGCATCCAGCAGCCCGGGTCCAACACCCTAAGTCTCCAGCAGCGCCATCCACCTTCCTCTCCCGCAGTACCCTTGGTACGGTAGCGGTACAGGTTCGTAGTGTCGCGCCTGACGGGGTTGTAGTTCTCGAGCTTCTTTTCGTTCTCAAAAGGATCGAAAGTGCCGTTTCCGCTGCCGCAGTCGTAGAAATGCGCGCCGTGGAGATGGAAAGGGTGGTAGTCGAAGCCACCGTTGTTGTCGACGAGAGAGCCGGTGTTCTCCAAGATGATTTCGATGACTTCGCCGAGTTTGGCGGGCCAGGTTAGCGTGTATGGGTCCCAGCCGCCGTTGGCCATGGCGGCGGTGTAGTTCGGCATAGCTGCAGGGCCGTTCTTGTAGATGTCGACGAGGTAGGGCGGGCTGTTGGCGGTGGTCTCTTCGGTCCAGTTTAGGCCATCAAGTTGCCAGATTGTGGTGGATTGCTTGAGTTGCACGTTGTTGATGTGAACGCGGCGGGTTATCTCGGAGGCTTTGGGGAAGTTGTTAGGGACGAGGGGCTCGAGAGCGTACTCGAGGAAGTCGTAGGTGGCGTTGGTGAAGGTTAGAGGGGCGACCGTGGGTGCGGTGGTGGTCTTGGGTCCTGAGCTTGGGTAGCGCAGGATACCGAAGCCGGTGTAGATTGCAGGCCGGTCTTTGGTCTCCCATTGCATGATGTATTCGGTTTGGTTGCCGAGCTCCTCTACTGTCTTTGTGCTGAAGAGGGCGTCGAAACGTTGGCCGGATGAAAGCATCATGTGGTCTGTAGTGTGGGGTTGCGTGTAGCCACCATCGGCTTCGATGACGTCGAACTTGGAATGGCCCTCGATACCGAACGATACCATCGATATGGCTGTTGCACCTACAAAGCGCATGCGGTAGGTCTTGCCCGGTTCGACTTCGATAACTGGTAGCTCACAGGTGCCCTCGCCAGCAGTTTCACCAATGGCAACACCGACACCATTTAGAAGCACTGCGTTGACCTCACCAGTCCACTTGAATGGCGTCGCAACGAGACCATCTTCCATTACCTCATCAGTCTTATTGTAGTAGTCTTGGAGGAAGACGATGCGCTCTTCATCGTACTCAAACGGAGGAGGACCAAAGTCTTCGATGATGAGCGGCCCTGCTGCAGAGATGGCCTGGAAGCCGATGTGAGAGTGGTAGAAGTAGGTTCCGGCATCCTCAACTTCAGGATGAATCTCATAGTCGAAGCATCTGTGAGGTGCGATCGGCCATTGGCTGACGGGTGAGCCATCACTGAAAGGTGCAGTACGTTGACTGAGGCCATGCCAATGCTGGTGCGCGTTAGTCATATGTTTGTGCCATAGTCTAGTTTCTCCATACCATTGTTGTGTTGTACTCTTCCATGTCATTGCAGACTCGCACCCAACTCGTCTTCCCGGCTGGGAGACGTAGTTCGGGTCCAGGGGATGTACCGTTTACCAACGCAGACATGCGAGTCTGGCATGCTACAGTGTGGTTCTCGTATGTAACCGAAAGGTAGAAGTCCGGGGTGAACCCTCCATCATGAGTGTGGAGACAGGAGTCGTTGTTTCCTGTGGGGTAAGAACCGTTCGTTCCTGTCGGGTAGGGTGCATTCGACTCTTCGCCCACGACTGAACGCGCCGCTCCCAGAAGCAAACCAAAGACCAAAGGGGTGAGCATCTTGGACGAGATGCGATGAACTGAAGTGAGGTATCGAGTAAGCACTGCCCAGCCTTATAAGCAGACCTCCTAATATAAGACGTCAAGGTGGCGCGCTTCCTCTGGCGGTGCACAATCTGACACACCTAGTTTACCATCTACGAACCGTGATCTACGTCAGCATCGCTGACGGCAGGGTTAGACCCGTGAGGGCCGGTAGTAAAGCCCAACACTTCCTGGAGAAGGCCCGAGATCTCGCCGAACGCGAAAGCGTATTGTCTAGATGGCAATTAGTCTGCGACCCTGCGTCCGTCCACAACATCGCGAAACATATTCTTCATGTTCAGCAGAGCGTCAGTACGTTGTATACAAGAATACCTGCGGCTGTCAAAATAGAGTTGCCATCGTCGCGTGGAGTTTAGGTTTCCTGCTAATGTACCGTAAGCCCCCTATCAGACTTGGGTGCGGACCGAATGGCGGTTTTTACTCGCCATTGCAATTACCGGATCGTCCGGGAGGTACTGTAGAACAGATGGAAGTCGACTAGAAGCACAGAAGTAATGAATAGCCTGAATGGCGATGAAGACAGTCTCGCCGGGCCCCTGATCATCAAACCTTGAGAAGCACCGACTATAAGTACAACTTTGTACCATCTGCAGCCTTACCCAACGGCAGTTCTCCCTCTATATATACATCGGCCCTCCTCTTCTGAAACCGCGTCGCATCGTAAACGTCATCGATATCATGTTCGCCCAATTCGTCTTACCGTTCCTCGCGATGCAGATGCTCGCATCAGCAACTCCGCATCAACACCGAAGGGCCAACGGCGTCGAGATTACGAGTCTGACAAAAAATGTCACATCGACTAGCGGAATCGGCAATGTCGCTGCGGCGGGTAACCTTTCACCATTCGGCGACATTGGTGTAGGCTGCGGCATCAACTGGCAAGCCGATGTGTCGTACGGAGGTATGTATTTCAATTACTATGCTGCCGGCTTTGACTAACGCACGCGAAACAGGCGGACTTCAGGCTGGATCCAGCGACTTTGGTCTGGGAAGCGGCTTCAACATGACCCCGGAAGCCATCATTATCGGCGCTGGAATCGGCATGAATGCGGCGAATGCGAGCGCGAACATCCAGTTTCATGGGTCGAAGAACGGAAGCGTCGAGCTAGTTTTCGAGAGTTCCGCACCGATCGTGTGCACGCCAGGGCTCAAGGATGGAAAGTCGACGGTTTCATGCAAGACAGTGTCTGTATAGATGGTGGCAAACTAGGAAATTTCGATCGATACCAGATGCACCGTGTGGAGTATACGAAGTAGTTGGGAGGGACGAGGAGTGGGAAGAGAAAGAGCTGAGAGGAAATGGCCCGTGCGACTAGCGTTGCGCGAGGGCTACGGGGAAGCTCATCTACGTCTTCAGCCCCAGAAATATTCTGGATCTTGATATCAATCTAATCAACTACTTAAGACGGTGCATGTCTTTCTATATACGCCGTCAGACATTTGAACCTCCCGCGACCCCCATACTTTCTACGTGTCCTGACCCGATCGATGCGATTGATTGCCCCATCTTCATGTACAGTGTCCTCGATCGCGCTTTCAGCCGGAACCTGTGCTGTGCTTCTTGAGGATGAAGCCGAAGTAGTGGAAGGTTCCCACTCCTCCACCCAGGACTTCCATGTCAAGATCCCACTCATCATGCGAATTAAGAATTGGCTTGACGAAGTGGGGCTGACGGTATGTGACGTAAAGAAAGACGCCGTCATCTTTCAAGACCCTCCAGACCTGTTTGTAGTTAGCAGTTATTCGAATAGACATGTCTGCACTTCTTTTCTTTACTCACTTCTCTGAGATACATTCTGCTGTTCTCGAGGACCTCTTTGGGTGGACTCCATGGGCTGCCGTAGGACATACAATCTAGTGTGCATTTGTCAAAGACAACATCTACGGAGTTGCACGCGATTCCGTTCATGTTTCGCACGTCGCCGACTTGCCATGCTACTTGGGGCTTATCGGCATGTCGAGACTTCATCAGATTGGCTACTACTGTAGAGAAATTGATGCAGAGTTGATTCCTATATCCCCGGTCTAGAAGGTCGTATGGCACACTCTGGTGATATGTCAGTTTGTTACTCTCAAGGAACGCAGGTAAAGCCAAAGATATGTAGAGCTTTTCAATTGAAGATAGCAACGAGACAAGCTTGTGGAGAAGGGAAAAGCTGCTTACACTATTCCCGCTTCCCAAATGCAGAATCCTCGTATCCTTCGACTTGTTTCGGAAGAGATGATTCTGGAAGAATGACTCCAGCTGACTAAAACTGCGATGCCATTCATGCGTCGGTTTGTCCCCAGTTGCTGTCGCATACTGCTCGTCCCAGTAATTCGAGTAACTAAGGGCCTGCTCTGTGTCCTGGTGCGATAGCATGGCGTCGGTCTGTAATATCTTGGTTCGAGGTTTGGTTTTTGATTATTGGGCCAAGGAGTGATATCGAGGCACGTACTTGGGTGAGGATGTTGGAAGAGTGCAATATCCGTGAAATAGACCCCCCATGACTCTCTGCTTCCTACACTCATGCAGCGCGAGTCTTCTTCCATGACTCTGCGAGTCTTCAGAGCACCCCGACTTCATAGTAGATTTTGAGTAGACGCGATGACAACTTGGAGATCCGTGCCTTTGGCTGCGACTCACAGCGTGACATCGAGACCGCGATAGTCACTCTGAAGAATTCTGACCAACAATAGCTCTACAGAAATCGCAAGTCTAAGTATGACCAAGTTGGTAAGGGCAAGACTTTCGGAAAGTATTGTCGAGCTAAGCAAATGATGCGATAGCTACTGTTGCAAAAGGACATGACCAATAGGCGAGCGCTACCCATGTATGTTTAGCTGCGCAAAGCAAATAAGGTCATGCGTTAGTGACCAAAGAAAGGATTCGGAGATGGCCATCCTTATGATGCGACCGTAGTGTGTAATTTGGAAGCGACCCCATACGGTCGGCTGGACAAGTTATGATCCATCGGGGCTAAGAGCGATCGCGCCTTCGAGAGGCCCGCGGGCGGTCCCGAGGTCCCGCAATGATAGCGGCAGGTCGTACCGTGTCGGGATCCGACATTGTGATGGGAGGAGCTACCGAGTCACACGAGAAGCGCAATACTGACCCTTTCGTCGTCGCTGAAGGCGTTCTGCCAATATTTGGTGGCGCGCAATACGGATCTGGTGGCGTCGAGACTCACTCGCAAGGTCCATAGTATCGTACTCGATCCCCTGGCAAGACCAAAGAAAACTCGTTCTACTCGGATAAAGAGTAGATACTGTGGGTGCTGCAACTGTGCCGCAGAGTTGCATGCCATGTCACGTCGGCTGCACGGCGTGCGAAATTGAATCCTTGCATGCGCGTGCCTTCGCCCATTCATGATTAGCGCGGGTAAGGGGAACACAGCTGCGGAAACGATACGTACATTTCCCCCCGCTCTTCGGTCTCAGCTTATTTTCACACTTGCCTTACGGATAGCAGTCTAACTACTGCTGAATGAGACGATGAGATGGTTGCTAAAACAATTATCCGAAAATACCGCGAGCTTCGGAAGCCTAAGTCGCTAGCGCCCGACAGTTCCAGCCAGAACCAGGTTAGTTCAGATGGATGCTGTGGTCCATGAGGCACGATCGAGACTCAACGTTGACAACCAAATAGCCATCTCAGCCAAACTATAACATTCAGTCGGTTCCTTGCGCGCCAAGCTCTGCTCCTTCCATCGCAACCTCGACTGCTACAAAGCCCAAACGTAATAAGAGTCCCACCTCCAAAAGTCGCTATGGTCTCAATGTTGAATATGACGGCACACACATCACCGACGGTCCGCAAGACCAAGGAGTTGACATAGTGGCCATTCACGGGCTTAATGGCAAGTCTGACTTGACGTGGACCCACGAGAAAACAGGCAAGTCATGGCTCAAGGACCTTCTACCGATTGACCTGCCACGCGCGCGCATCTTCACGTATGGTTACGCAGCCGAGATTTTGCTCAGCAAGAACGTGAGTACAATAACCGACTACTCACTTGGACTCCTCGCGGAGTTACGCCGCCAACTGGATCAATCGTCCGAAGCTACTGTAAGAAAACATGGGAGCACTTGACTATCTCCGCTGATTTTACGCTCCCCAGCCTCCACGCCCAATCATCTTCATTTGTCATAGTCTAGGTGGACTTGTGTGTAAGCGGGTACATATGATCCAACTTTTGAGAGACTTTGTGCTGTTGACTGACTGCAGCCTCAAAGGCACTGCTTCTAGCTCAAGAACACAGCCACTATGAAGACATCCTGGCCTCTACCACCGCCATCGTCTTTTTTGGTACTCCTCACCGCGGCTCAGCAATAGCAGACCTAGGAGTGGCTATCGGGGATATAGCAAATGCCTTCTTCCTAATTCCAGCCGTCCGCAGTGATCTTATCAAGGCGTTGAGCTTGGGATCCGAAGAACTAGCCGTCCTTTTCGAATCATTCTGCAAACAATTGGACTTCCTCAAGATTGTTACCTTTTATGAACGGCACATCCTGCCTCCCTTCAACAAAGTGGTAAGTGCTCCTATAACTCGTGTGGTTCATGCTAACATCGTCACCGTTGACCAGGTCGTCGATCGCCCCTCGGCCGTTATGGGGATCCGCGGCGAGATGGTCATTCCCTTGAATGCTGACCACAGGGCTATGTGTCGCTTCGAGTCGAGGAGCAACAATGATTATTCCATGGTCGTCAGTCAACTCAAACGACTGTGTCAGGAAGCGAAGTCAGATAGGCATTCGGCAAACATGTGTACGTATCGCTAAAACATTTTCTCGCTCTCGCTAATAGAAGTCACTAGCTCTGAAATCAAATGAGAAGCGCTGTATGAGCCTGCTCTACTCGACAGGTCTCGAAGACTATCGAAATCAACTACCTAAACCTGTGGAGGGCACTTGCAGCTGGATTCTTAACGATCCACAGTATATGTCTTGGCTCACATCTAACGAGACGGGCTTATTGTGGGTCACAGGTGAACCAGGTTGCGGAAAGACGATGCTTTCTTTGTACCTCACCGAGCACCTGGCGATCGAGTCTCCATCTTCATCCGGACCAGAAGTCTTCTACTTCTTTTGTGACGACAAAGTAGGTACGCAGAGGGATGCAAAAGAAATGATGAAGAGCATCCTACACCAGATCCTGCTACGACACCGAAGTCTCATCAAATACATGAAGTCGAGATGGGAAGCCACAGGCCATCATCTTGTGGATTCCTTTCACGCTCTATGGGAGATCTTCGTTCGTATTGTGAAAGAAGCGAGGCTAGGTTCATTCGGTATTATCGTCGATGCGATCGACGAATGCGAACCAAACACTCGGCGGCTGTTCCTCCAGGCAATCAAGCAGCTGGTGCAGGAAGCGCGTCGTGCGACCCGTCGCTCACGAAGTTTTGTCAAGTTCCTGTTCACTAGTCGACCTTCACCGCAAGACCTCAGCGTTCTTGAAGAAACCCAGAACACTGTCCTGCCACTAGATGGAAACCAAGCCAGAATCAGCGAAGAGATTCGACTCGTTATTCGCAATAAGCTTGGGCGGATCGCCAGCAAGCTGGGCTGCTCGGCCGAGACCATTGCTGAATTGGAAGCGCTGCTCACGGAAAAGGCGGAAAAGTCATTCCTGTGGCTAAACATCGTACTCAAGTCACTTGAGGATAGTCCTTCTACGTCGAAGAGAGATCTCAAGCGAATTATCAACGACTTCCCTCGTGAGCTACAAGCGACGTATGCGGAGTTTCTCTACCGTATACCCGATAGTAGGAAAATCATCGCCTCCACCGTCTTACGCCTCTTGCTGGGAAGTTCGAGGCATCTGTCGTTAGACGAAATGAACATAGCCTACACCATTGATGGCAGCCTGGAGGGCTATCAGACTGTTGCCGAGGTGATGGAAGACCGTCAGACCGCGCTCGAGCAGATGTTACAACTTGTTGTGGGCCCTTTCGTTCGTATCGAGGCGCAGAAGGTGTCTCTTATCCATCAGTCTGTGAAAGACTTTCTGACCGGACATGCACTGTCATCGCCAGACAGTACAGTTCGAGAATTTGGTACTTCGACTCCGACGGCAGCGCTCCATATGGCTTCCACATGTATTCGATACCTTTCTCTTGAGGAATTCGCGACCGATATCTTCATACTCCCGACCCTTCCGTGGGATGAGGACGACACAATTGCTGGTGTGCAAGAAGACACCGATTCAGAATCTTTATTCGACTTGGGTTTCGACATGAAAGGAGATACCATCATGGATACCGGTGACGGATCCGATGAAAGAACCCGCGTGTCTATCGCTGAGCGATACCAGTTTTACGACTATGCTGCAATGCACTGGGCTAGACATTATGCACAATGCGAGACCGTTGTCGACAGATCTACCCAGGAAGCTTTTCGCAGTTTGACACAACCCGGGAGTGGCATGCTCACAAATTGGCTCAAATACTATTGGTTTGAGACGGATATGGAGTATGTGCTACCAGACTATTTCGACACTGTCATGGTGGCTGCGTTCTTTGACTGTGCAGTCATGCTCAACGATTGCTTGCGCATGCCAACCGAACAGCTCAGCAAAGATCGTGCTCTATTTTGGGCCGCGAGGATGGGAAGTGCAAAATCGGTGGAGGTGCTGCTTCGGCATAGTGCAAACCCTAATTCGCGCGTAGTTGAACTACACACTCCATTAACTATAGCTTCTCATCATGGCCACGTTGAGGTTGTAAGAACTCTCCTGCATGATACACGTACCAGTATCAATGCCGAAGGACCGTCCGGTCGTTCTGCCTTATCGTACGCGGCTGGAAACAGTCACCAGGAAATCTTTCAGATGCTTTTTAACCGGCATGATTGCCGGCCTGAACACCAGGATAACAACGGATGGACAGCTCTTTTCTGGGCCATGGAAAGAGACCACACGGTGATTGGGCGTGCTCTGCTTGCCCACAAAGCTGTGGATGTCAATCATGTCGACCGCCAGGGCCGCTCAATACTGTCTTGGGCTGCAGGCGAAGGCTTTCTACAGGCCTTGAAGATGCTACTCAAGCAACCGGGTGTGGACACAAATCTCAAAGACAAGAAGGGCCGGACACCATTGCTATGGGCTGCCAACAACGGCCATGGAGAGGCCATTGATGTCCTTATGAGGGATGACTACAAAATCGACAGGCAAAGCAAAGACAATGACGGTAGAAGTGCTCTTTCTCTAGCCTGTGGCGGCGGCCACACAGATTGCGTAAGAGCCTTGATCAAATATCGGTGTGGAGATGAGAACGAAGAAGATGTGAGCGGATGGACACCACTTGCTTGGGCTCTGGACCGCCAGTCCCCTCCAACAGTGGGCGCTTTACTAGCGGGTCGGGAGGTGAAGCTTGACCATCAGGATCAGAGCAAGAAGACTGCTTTGATATGGGCAGCAGAATACGGCTACTATGACGTGGTGGAGATGTTGCTGCAGCAAGGTGCCGATCCTCGTATAACTAGTACAAATGGTCGAACCGCTCTAGACATGGCAGAGTTGTATGGGCGTACAGAGATCGCAGCTTTGCTCAGACAGGTAATGTCGATGGAGGAGAATACTGTTTGGTGATTTCGCTCGGTTGGAGTTTATTAAAGCATCTTTGGTAACGGAACCAATTGACGTCCCCTCTGTCTTTAGTAGCACAAAGTAGTGATGGAAACCTTGATGCCGTCAAACTCATGCTCCAGAACGAGTCTCTCCAGTACAGATTCCGGGATGGACTGTTCCTCTGTCAAACCATTACTATTTGCAAGGATGCAGCGCATACCAAAAGCGTGAACCATCTAAAGTGGGATGAGCTTCTTAGTATCCTTGTATGCGACTTCTTCAGCAGCGGCGATTCCCCTTTCGAATGGGCCAATACTTTTCTGTGCTCGGCAGCTCGACAAGGCTGTTTGCCCATGATCAAGATACTCTTCACCAAAGCCAGCAAGGAGCCAGACTTAGCGAAGGCACTTGTGGCAGAAACTCAGGTTGACAGTCCTTACCAATCAGGCGGAGAAGCGGCATTCTGGGGCCATGCGGATATCGTTCAGTACCTGCTCACACAGAAGCACGTCGATATCACTTCTCACTTAGACCACCACGCCACTCGCGATCGGCGAAACGTACTGCACTGTGCTGCATCGTCGAAAAACGCGACCATCCTCCGTGTCCTGGCTGAAAGGCTTCCAAGTGGAGTTGAAGAACAATCAACAGAAGGAGACACACCACTACAATTGCTGACATTTGGTCACCATGCGAGTATTGAAGCGGTTCTGGCGTTGGTGGATGTCGGCAAAGCAGATGTGAACTCTTGTCCAGGGGGAACATATTTCTCTCCGCTACGAACTGCTATACGCGCAAAGAACGTAGAGGTGTGCCGGCTGCTCGTATCGCACGGTGCACATGTCGATGACGCACTACAACGCGATGCAGGTTCTGAGGAGACAGGGCTAGCGGACGACTTGGGGGACGCAGAGACCTCTCAGCGCATATTGGAGGTACTGGTGCCGCTTTCAAAATCATGAGCATGCGACAGTCAACGCTCTGCAGTCTACATCGAGATGTAAACAGGCAAAGTAGATGACCCGACCTCAACGTAGGCTCTGGGGTGTTTTTTCCAGGGCTTGGAACAGGAATGCGCTTCCAAGATTGTAGCGTTCTCCATACAATCCCATGTGTTATACAACTGCAGTCTGTGTTTTTGGCCTACGTACACGGAGAGGGGGCACCCGTGTACCGATATCTTCTCTTGTGGGCTGCGAAGGGTATGGCAGTTCGTTCGGTTTGGCTGTAGTCTGCGGCGGCGAAGGATCGAGGCTGGTACGCGCGGGCTAGGATGGGCCAGCGAGACGACGGGGCCAACAACGGCAGGTACGAGCGATCCGGATCGTTCGCATACGAATCGAGCGCTTTCTGGCTGTTGGATGGCAAAGAGGATTAGGCGTTTCGCAGCATTCGTGATGGTGGACGCGCTGGATGAGTGCGCGTAGAGGCGCGCGACGCGACGCTGAATGGCCATCCAGCCGGCCCGGCAAAACGCTGGCCCGACCTCCGGAGAGTGCCCAGGTGCCCGGTGAACAGCCAGCAACAGCTTAGACAACTTTCGACAGTGCTGGGTCAGCAACGGATTTCAGACAGGAGCGCGTGACCTCAAGGTTGCGAATGCGTGTAACATGAAGGCCGAGAAGAGAAGCACCGAGCCGGTGAGTAATCGAGTGGTGCCGCCACGATACCTGGGTACATAGGTAGCTAGAAATGCATTACACCAGGCCCTCATATCTCATCTACCATGTATATGTCTTTGTACAGTGACGCCCAGGTCCCGGTGAGGCGCTAATACCACGACCGTACTCGTAATTTCACACGAAACCAACCCGGTTTCCGCTCATGTCTGCCAGCATACCGTCGCGCTGGAAGGATGGGAAAATAGGATTCACAAAACCCCTAGGACAGATGTTAGCTCATGGTATAATTACGACTTATCCGGAGATCAGCACTCACAAGGCGTCGATAGCTTTGCCAGAGATGGAATTGTTTTCTCGCCTAAGAGATGGTCAGCTGGATGTATTGGGGGCTGAGCAAGAAAGGCCATACGGGCACGCTTACCCATGGTATCACCGCCACGCTCGCACATGACGCCAAGGTCATGCTCAGCCACAGCAGCACCGTCATGACGCCGTGTTTATGCCTGTGCAGCCCGAGCTGCTATCCTGCCCTGCTCCAATGTCGCCCGTAGGCCCAGTAGTATTTTGGGTCACAGTAGGGCCCTCAGGACAGCGACGGCAGCAAGACAAGGCCTGTATCACGACCAGTGCGACCACAGCGAAGTAAAACTCGTGGTCTGATTCCTTTCTGAAGAGACCCATGACGCCAGACCACGGCTTTGAACCCTCTTTATATACCACACCACCTTCTTCGGGGGTCTATTTGACTGATGGCAGAGTGTAGGTGATGGAGGGAGAGCAGCGGAGGCAGTGGCAGGCGGCGGCGGCGGCGGTGAAGTCGTGGAGGCGCAGATGCGATTGTACTGGCAGCTAAGTACCTACTTCGGCTGGTAATTAAATGTTTGGTTCGAATTATATCAAGCGATTGGGATGGCAGGTGTACATAAGGACTGCATAGATGCTCCAAACCTTGGAAAGCCATGAATCTCAGAGTGGATCTTCCGCTGAGGCGCAGAGGAAAGATACCTCACCGACATGCGCTTCTTGGTTAGTACATGCAAAAATCAGAAGCTACTTGTCCCGTTCACGTTGGAAGTGGGCCGCGCATAGCCTCTTACCGGTGTGCGTATCTAGGTAGCGCTCTCAAAAGGACATCTTGAGGACTAGGCATACACACGATGTATTAACGCTAAACCTCACCCGAACGCTCCTGGAGTTTCTCGGAGTGCAGCCCGAACAAGTAGCACATGACGCAGTTGAACTGGTTGTCATTCCCAGTTCTCCGCTCGGGTGGCACCTCAGAAACCCGATCCATGTCTTTCGTACGACGAATAACCCGGAGGTCAAATATACCCCGCACACGTCTTTGGAGATCGAAGTCTTCCTTCCCATCCTACCACATCCAAGGGTATCAAAGATGGCGCCAGATTCAGCATGCAGGCTCACCGTGGAGTGGACCGTGGATCAACCTACGAACTACAGTTGCGTAAGACGACTTCCAAATATGCAATGAGAGTACTGGTGGGCTTCGAATGTTTACTAACGAACACCTTAATAGGATGCACAAATCACCGGAAAGACAGGCGCAGTGAAAGCTCGCAAGAACGTGGATGGCGCCAACACTGGAATACGACACAAGGCTGGGAAGAAGTTCATTAGAGAAACTGGAGACATCTCCGCTGGCGAGCATCTTAAGAACGGCTCAACTGGTATCTATGTCAAGAAAGATGCAACTGGTACGGCAAAACTCGAAAACACCGGTGGGATCGAGGCCGAGAATGTTGAGAATGCATCCACGGGTATTATTGATGGATAAGGTATGCGACTACGATCTTGCTATCGCTTGATAGACTGGCTGATTTGCTGATTTGCACAGGCGGATGCATTTGTAGGACACGATGGCTGTACCTAGGTACTGTTTACTCTACGAGAAATTGAGCTCATTGCATGACCTCTACCTTATATTTCGGACAAAATGAAACTTGGCTTCACAGTACTGTCGCTGCGTCTTTCTCATTCCCATGTTCATAGTGCAAAGAAAATCCACTACAACCTCCAAACAATTTTTTCCCCATGGACCCGTGATATGCGTGTTTGATAGTATGCACTTCCCTAGTGTGTTACCAGCAGAAAGGCTCTATGAGATCGAGCTAGACCTCCGTAGTGACTGTCAGTCTGAATGACGCATTGTCAATAGATTGCAACGCCCGTGTTGATGTCGCTAGCATCGATGCCAACTTCCACGGAACCAGTCTCTCTTGTAATCCTTGCTGATAGGTGTGAGTTTGATGTCTGATCATATATTAGAAGCATGCACAGCTTAGCGCAACGCAATGGTACCGGGACCAATCCTCAGGTTTCGCTCCCGGCCAAAGTTTGGCAGCACATTACACGCAGACCTAGATACTGAAGCTTTCCACTTACAAATCGTTCGAGAGAGATACCTGTATTGGCATTGACAGCGCGCCCTCCGACGCTGATACTACCCGTGCGCCCTGATATGTGTGCGTAGGTCCTCGAATGAGGCGCCCCGAAAGCCCCACCTGGGTCTATGGGCCTGGACTCCACCATCAATCCCGTTTCTGTAGGAACTGTTAGAGCGTATCCTGAATCAGACCTTTAATCACTCAAATCACTTCAGGTGACGACGAATGGGATGATTTGAAATGTGCCATACCGATTGAAGGCTTGTATATCTCTTCTTTGAGCCGGCAGAGGGCGTTTTTACTGCCTTCACCATATATAAGTGGCATGTGAACGTCGAATATACCCAAGAGCGAGTACGCCAAGTCCTCCTCTCGTTTGGTCGAGCGCTTCTCAGCCCAAGATAAACGCTCTTCAACGCTTATCTGGGCAAGAGCACCACCCCGAAGGGCATGATGCGGTATCTTAGTCACAGCCTCTATCTCCTGCAACCTGGAGGCTCTATCGCCGATAGGCTCCCCCTTCCTAGTGAAGAAACAAATGGCCTTGGGTGCGACAAGCTCTTGTAGTGTCCATCCGCGAGTGAACCATCGGCTGGCTTGGAAGGAGTTGGTATTCTCGATCGAAACGTCGGACAAGTACGCGTAGCATTTAGCTGCTTCCCGATACCAGCGAAACATGGAATTGATGGCCTCTGTAACCTCTGCGCTGCTGGATTTGTCAATACAGCAGGTATCGACCCAGGAATACTCCAAACCATCTTTAGCAGCTTGACATGTGCAGAAGAGGATCTTGCGATAGCCTGCTTTGCTCTGGCCTGTACCATCTGTAATGTCTTTCAAGGTGACCTCGTCGGAATCCGAACCCCACGTATGAGAAAGAATGCTGTAGGCTGGTATGTCCTTTCCAAGGAATTCGACCAGGCTGAGGTGGCCGCTTCCGAAATGTAGGAGACGCATGACGAGCGTGTTTGGGGAATGAGTGCCAGTCAACACATTTGTATGCGAAAAGGCTATCGCTTCTAGAAAGTCGTGGTCGGAGGCGTCCAGCAATCAGACATCGGGCATGTGGCTATAGTACGGTAGCGATTCGGAACGCATGCGCTCGGGTTGTACAGAATTGAGTTTGGTGATGGAGAGGTGGCAATTCTGGCCAGAGGTAACGGGGCCCAACGACACAGGTTCTGCCATGGCTGTTGTGTAACCCGATTCCTCCCCCTCGGATCCCGAGGTCACCATACATCACGCCCCGGCTAATGCGCTATGAACTGATGTTCTTCCTAAACACGTACGATATTTGACAAAAACATTGTTGACTGAGAGCGACAGTTTGAAGCTAAGTAGAGAGGTAGTACACAGACGCCCGCTAAGAGTAGTGGGGCCGCAAGTCAAATGCGCCTGCGGTACCAAGAGAGGCTATGCAAAGCCATGCTCCGGTGAAGCACATCCACCGGTGAGGAACTGAGCTTACTTTTGGATTTCGCTGACTGCGTGGACCACACTATGTTGCCTACCAATTCGCCCTACACTGGTAGAGGCGAATCACCAGATTCGGTCGCTCACATTGTACCAATTCTCTTTTCCGTGTCTATAGTCTTCGTAACGCATCTGCCTTGATGAGCATCGGTATCAATAGATGTGAAATAATAGGTATCTTGCTTATTCGTAATATCCTATTTCGTCTCCAGCAGTGGATAATGTAGTGTAATCCACAACTGCCCAACATAACACCTAAATCGTATCTCCATACGCTCAACCTCCAGCAACCACAGCCAAGCCCTCATATATCTGCCTCCTCACCCTAGAGAACGTCGCAGCATCATTATTCCTAGGATCCAAATTACCATAAGCCCCTCCATCAATCTCAATCTGACCAGTAGCAGTCTTCCTCACCGCCACTGTCCCGTTGATGACCAACACACCCTCGCCTCTAAACTCCGCTTGCATGCCATTAGCGTTCATGAGCTTCCTCAGATCGGCAAGACGAAGATCGCCGACATGGAAGGGTTGTGCGACAGATCGAACGGCGGTGGCCATGTTCGTAGGAACGACGTCGAGAATGGGTGTATCGTCATTCTTGTCGCTAGATACGGGGACGGCAGGGGCGTCGAGCCGAGCCTTCTTCTTCGCGGGCGTATCCGCCTCTTCTTTGACTTCTGGCTCCAAGCTTGCAGCTGCAAGGCGACCAGTGATGGCCACGACACCCATGCCGCGAACATTCTGCCAACGAAGGTTGCGCACCATACTACGGCTGAGCTTGACACTCCAGGCATTCGTGTCGACACTCGCGTCGATCATCACACCGACTGTGGGTGTGAAGACATCGATGGCGTTGGCTGAATCGGTGTTTGCGTTCAGCGCTATGCGACTTATCTCTGCAAGCTCCAGAGTCTCGCCTTCCTCACCACCCACGAAGATTAGCTTGCGAGGCTTGATAAGTGGAATAAGCTGCTGGATCGTGCGGCGGTCGTGTAGGCCTGAAAAGTCGACGAAGGCGATGCGACACCGGATTTCCAGGGTTTCCGACTCAATGATGACTTTCGAAGGACCTTCCACTTTGTCTGGGTCGTCTTCTGGTTCGCTGTCTGATTCTCCGTCCTCGCCTTCTCGAGCCTCCTTGTCTTTCCGTCGTTTTTGATTGGCATTGGCTTTGCTAGTGTCGGTGTTGTTCAGCAAGTCGTCCCATCTCCTCTTCTGGCCAACAGCGTTCTCCTTCTTGGTTCCCTCCCCACGAAGAGCTTCCCCAGCAGTGTTGTCTTCCTCTTCCGCGCGCGCAAAATCTTCGGGTCGGATCAGATCACCAAAGTCGTCCGCTCGACGCTTCTTGGCCTGGAACGGGAACATCTTCTCTTTTCCTTTCTTTCCTTGCACTTCATAGTCGTGGACGTTCTTGCGGCGTAAGAGTACGTTGACACCCAACTCCGCGTCTGTCATGACAAGCTTGTTTCGTGCATGTTGAAGGGCGACGGTCGCGTTGAGGGCTTTTCCTCGGTATCCATCACCCGAGCCTTCCGAACTCTCTGACTCGGTGGATGATCGGTCGTCGACAACATCAGCGGATGTTTCGAGCATTGCTGCATTATCACCGCCCATGGTAGTTTGCCGTTGTCTCTGGCCGGCAAGGAACTGCTGGTAAAGCGGAACCTCGTCTCCCTCGAGTGCGACTGTCCGTATAGTATTGAGCGGCGCTTGGTCGCCCGCGGCGTCGATTATGGTTGTAGAAGGGGCGTCCTGCCCTGGCGATGCATTGCGCTGGTTCCACAGTTCCCAGAGATATCGGCCGAGACCCTTCTTTTGAGCGCCCAGTTGACCAGCTCTCTCTGTGAGAATGACTAAATTCTTCTCGTCGGCCGCCAGACTTCGAATGGCATCTTTTGAGAATCCCCACTCAAGCGTCGCGTCGCTTGCCAGTATCACTCGCGGCCCATTGGCGCCTAGCATCCGAGCTACACGGGTCTTGCGCTCAACCAGTGTGATATGTTTGAAGTCGAATGGGACTCTGGCGCGATCTTCCTCTTTGCCGCTTTTGTTCCTTCGATCTTGGTCCGCAGCGCTGGCTTCAAACTCCTTCACGATGCCCTCCTCCATCCATTCCAACATACTCCGTACGTAGCGCATCGTTGCGCCACCTGTTCGACTCGCAAGATAGACCTTTGCGCTTTTTAGCGGACCGCCTCCCTCCGTGTTTGTTGCCTCCCGCTCCCATGTTTCTTCGAGAAGATATGCCAGTTCCAGTATACGAGCACTCGAGTCTGAGGGGATCAAGACGGTTCCGCCCTTGGCCACTGTGTCTTGAATCATCTCGAGGAGGGCTTCATCTCGCTTGTTGGGCGATCTAGCTACCTTGACCATACTGGTGTTTTTGCTACTGCAGATCAAGGCAGTTGGACGACGCAACTGTTCCAGAACTTCAGAGCCACCAGTGCCAGGCCCTCCAAGCCAAGCAGCTCCGGAGAGAACATGCTCTCTGGCTTGGTTCCAGTCGACGGCATAGACGACCGACTCCATTCCATGCTGTATGTGCCATATTGAACCTCCCAACGTGTGTCCGGCGCTGTATGCGGTAATGGTGAGACCATTGAGCGGAGGCGAATGCGGCGAAGGGATGGGTTGATGCGGTTGGGAATATCGAAGCGGATTTATGCGAGCGAAGTAATCGGCAATCTCTTGCGACGTAGGCGCCTGGAGAAGAATGTTGGGATTCTTTCCACCCGTGAGCGCCGAGGAGAAGGAGTATGCGGACTCACTGAGAGCTTCGGCGGGGATGATGGACGAGGCGAGCGGCGTGGATTCGTACAAGTCTTGTAGCAGCGTTCGGCCGAGCGATATGACGGGGTTTGTCGCGTAGACGGGGATTCGCGTGAACAGAGGGAAGTTCTTGCAGCAGTGGACG